AGACAGAAAGATGGAGAGGAAGAAACATCAACCGGTTGCCTCCCACACTCTCCCAGCCAGGGCCAGGGACAGAGCCTGCAACCAAGGTATGTGCCCTTGGCTGGAATCAAACCCAGGACCCTTCAGTCTGAGGACCAACACTCTAACCACTGAGCAAAACCAGCTAGGGCTAGGGGGGTTTATTTATCTGAGTGGTGGCCACGAAAGTTGTGTTTAGTTGTGAAAAAACATCAAGTTTATATGCTTTTCTAGACACAGTGTTCTTTAATAAATATTAAAAAAATGGCTTGTCAGAATTTTAAAATCCATTTTTAACATATTTGATCAAATCTTTAGATCAACTTTCCAGTTTACTGAAAATACAGAGGATAGGGACATAAATAGCATCCTCCAAAAGCAATGAGAAAAATCCAGAATGTGCATTATTCTATAGGGCAACTATATGGTTCAAGTCATCAATAAAAGAACAAAAAAAACCCCAAAAGACTACCAGAAGAACAAAAGGTCTGTGTAGAGGCATGAATGAATACACACTTTTAGACTAAAAGAGATAAGGGGAAACAAATGTAACAATGTATAATCCCTGACTGGACTCTAATTTAAACAAACCAGCCAAAAAAATTTAGTTACTGGGAAAATGTAAATATCAACTAGATATTAAATGCCTTAAAGGTGTCATTTTGTTAAGATCTGATAGATCAGGAAAATGTCTTTACTTCTGAGAGGCTCATACTAAGAAATGAAGCATAAAAGGCCAAAATCTAGGCAGCCATAACATGCCATGCCACAGTAATTAATGAAAACCACTGAAGCCCGGTGGTGTCCAGACAGAGACAAGTCTGCCTTTCCCAAGCTCTGCCCCCAATTTCCAAGGGGCAACTGCTACTTTCTGGAGACATTTTTTATTTGTTTTTCACAACTGGGGTTGGGGGAGAGCAGGGTACTATAACGTCTAGTGGATAGAGGCCAAGGACACTGGTACACATCCTTACAGGGCACAGGACAGTCCCCACAACAAAGACTAATCCAGTCTAAAATGTCGATAGTGCCACGATTAAGAAAACACAAGAATGAAAATGAACTGGAAAGGTGAATAAAATATATAATAAAGCAAAAACAGTAAGATATTAGCAATTGTGGAATCTATGTGGTGTTTATGTGGCATTCACTACATAATGTACTTTATGTTTGGAAACTTTGATGACAAAATACTGGGAAAAATATTAAGTATCATAATTACATGTTTAACAAACAGATTTTCATATAAACAAACCTAAATTCTTACAGTTTTTGAAATAATAAAACTGATGTAACTTGTAGAACACCCAAGATACTCACTAACACGCTCATGTAAAAGCAGATAAGGATATTTCAGGATTTCAAGAATAGGAACACGAAGTTTATTTTCAAAGTCCTGGCCAGTGAAGTCAAAATGTCGTGCCTCTCCACTGTTGTCCACTATATACAATTCATCATCATCATCTTCAATTTCTGCCCTCATGGATCTTTCAAAGTGATTTATGAGACGGAAGGTTTCTAATTCCCATAAAACCTACAGGAAAAGAAAAATGGGTAGTATGCTTTATATATTATAAACAAAATATACTGGATGTGATGATCTGCCTAAAATCCTTTTCCTAAGCATAAAGATTCAGAAATTTTAAGTACCAGACATCCCATATTAGATTTATTTGAAGAAAACAGTAACTATGGCTACATTTATGATACGTACATGAATATGAGCCCTTGATTTTTCAGACCTTGACTTAACAGACTTCAGATTTAACAGATAAAATTTCCAGTCCTGGCTAGTATTAGTTATTGGTTAGAACACTGGCCCTCAGACTGAGGGATTTCAGATTCTATTCCCAGTCAAGTGTATGTACCTCAGTTGAAGGACTGATCCCTGGCCCCAGTTGGGGAGCACATGGGAGGCAACCAATCAATGTGTCTCTCTCACATCGATGTTTCTATGTCATATGTAAAAAATTAAATTTAAAAATGCTTTTAACCAAGATTTGCTTACAATTAAATTAGCAGGTTATTTTTTTGTTATTAATTCACTTGTTTTTGATAAATGCTAGCGAACAGGCTGTATGTTGGAAAAAATACTGTAGTAATTTTGCATTACATATCTACAATTATAGTCTACCTACATATTTAAATCCAAGAGTCACAGCTCATAAACAATGTTCAATAGATAATTAGCACATGATCACACCACATGAGGTAATTGGTTCTGTTGTCCCTCAGCATGACTTTCTGCAGAGGTTTTAACTCATGCAGGTGACCTAAGCCATACCCCAGCCTTGTGCATTTGTTTATTTGCTATGACTGGCGAATGCACACATTTACTAGACCTATATAGTATCAATTTAAAATTACAGTAATACATATAGAAAACTTTCCTGTAACATTAAACTTTTCATATACACTTTAGTTTAATTACACAAAGGTGTCTACCTAAGTAAATACAGGTAAACTACTTGTCAATTTTTTAACATACCCATTTAGAAAACCTACAGTATTATATAACAGACTTTCAGCTTTAATGGACATACCCCTACACCCAAATTAGTCTGTTATTCTGAGGTTTTACTGTGCACAGAGCACAAGAGGTTTAAACACTGCCTGTGGAGAGTTTCACTACCAGTATCTCAATATCCCAATCAACCCACTAAAAATGAAATAAGGAGTTGGGGCATCTTTGTCAAAGGCAAGAACTCAAGCCTTCAAACATGTAACTACTTTAAAACATCAGCTTTAGCATAAATGATTAGCACATGAATGCTTTGTAAATGCAAAACTTTTCTCAACAGATTCGTAACTAATCCATTCCCTCCTCCTCTCCATATATCTTTATAGTGTGCATTAAAACAAATACTCCAAGCTACATATTTAAAATTGTATGTTATACTTTGGTTTACTATGACTAGGAAACGTGCTTGCCCTTAAAGGTTTATAACACCCATTTAAAAATGAAAAGACAAAAGTCACTCAAGCCGTTCAGACACATTGATTTATAACACTGTCAAATATACTGACATAAAAAAATGAACCAAACCACCCCACACTTCATAACATTGTTTTATTTCAAAATGACTAGAAGTGAGGGGTCATAAAATTCTGTTTTAGGTTCCGATTCAACTCCATTAGTCAGTGATCACTAACAGCATCTACTATATAGCAGGCAATGAATCAGGTACTAGAGGTACATATCAACCTTCAAAATTTAAATTATCAGTTCCCCGAATGCTTCCAAAAGAGTCCAAATTTATTCTTTTCCTTTTAATCAAGCTCCAAAAAACATTCCCCCTTAACTTACCTCATGCAAGAATGGCAGCCGGTCCCTTACTCTGTGGTACTCAGTCACACACTCGAAGCAGTAGCAGAGGTCTTCATCTGCTGTGTGGAATTCACTGGGCAGGGTCCTGGATGCATAACGCTGTAGGAAGTGAATGGTGCAAACGCCACGTGGCGTACACCAACAACATGTGCTCATTCTGTACCTGTACCTAGAAAACAAAACAAAGACTAAAGAAAAACGAAAAAAAACTTCAGGCCTGTTCTATGTCAAGAATGGGTACACTTCCTCTAATGACCATCAACCTTAACTGGGAATGTGCCTCCACCACATCCAGATCCACCTGCTGGCCAGCTGTCAGTGGACTAAACTCAAATCTGAGCCCACTCCTCAAAACCTTGTCTTCGGCACGTGAAAAATGTAATGAAATGAAAGCACTCAGTTATTAACATCATAAGGCAATACAGATGTGCTCAAAAGTACATAATACTGATGGAAAATATGTTCAGACAAAGAACTCTGTGTTTCCAAAGTACAGACTTTGGATAGTCTACTGAAGTAACGTACTGAAGCTGAGTTAAAAGCTCAGAAACCTTATATATCCCCAAAAGCACACTCCAGAAATCCATGGAAACCTGAAAATCCGTAAGTACCAATAACAAAAACTCATATAGAGAAGAATTTTTCTCTTGTTTACGAAGTATATATGCATATGAATTTGCACAGTGAATTGCACTATCCAGACTCACCGCTCATCAATACAGTGTAACAGCTACAAACAATCTACTGCTACTGATTCTGATACTCAGGGCCTCTACCATCCAAGATCAAGTGAAAAGGTTAAGATTAAATACTTTTCCAACTCCTAGCAGTCTCAAGGAGAGCAAAGTAGTAAGACCATACCAGGAAATCCCAAGAACCAAACGCACCAAAGATTTGAGTAAAGTCCTATGAGGCAGATGATATGGAAAAAGGATGGGGGCATGGCAAAGGAAATAGGAGCCAACCTAAAGGACCTATCAATTGCCAGAGAGCAAATATTTTGAACAAAAAAAATACAATATTGGATTAAAACCTACAGTATGAAGTAAATATACATGAATATCTGTACTAGTATAAATAAATGAGTGAAAGGATAAACAAATGTGGGAGGAGAGAGAAAAATTCCTTACAGAAGAATTCCAAATAATATACTGATACTCCCCATTCCACGAGGCGCAACTTAACTCTACCCCATCTCAAGTGTGAGCTGGACTTGGTGAATTGCCTCCAAAGAAGAGAGTATGTCTCTTCTTTGTCTAAAATATTTACAGTGGAGACACCCAGCAAACAACTCTAACCAACAGTTGAAGTTAAATCACCTGTGTAAGCCTCATTTTTAATTCCTGACATAATGTTAGGAGGAAGCACCTTCAACTCTGCAATTTGCTTCTCCAAAACCCATGATGCCCTAATCTATGCATGAGAAAAACATCACACACACCCCAAGTACCATCTCAACAGCTATCAGCCAGTCTAAAACAAGAATAAAACCACACTCAAGGGAAATAAAGCAAGGGCTCTTTTATACGAAATTAATGACTGATCGGGAATTGGGCTTGGAAATTATCCAACAAATCTCATCCTGAGAAACTTGATCTTCAGTATCCAGTTAATGTAAACTATCAGTCAAATGGGAAAGAAAAGTTGTGAAGCCAACTAAGTTCACTTCATAAACCAGATGGGCCTAACCCATGCATTCCCATCTCATAACAGGTAATGCTATGCTCAGAGAGATAAAACTGGTTAGTCCTATTATTTTTATGTATAAAGCACCTATATACATGCAGTGCACAGATATATATAATACATTATTAGTATTAAAATTCATGGAAAATTCATAGGAAAGATATGTCTAAAATATTTCCTTTTCAGGAAGTAGGAGAAGGGACAAAAAAGGTTAAGAAACATGAACTGAATACCTGGGTACAGAAACTTGGCAGTGTGAAGGCTTTGAATTCACATCACCCTAAAATTCAGATGACATCTTTTTGTTGTTGTTACTCACCCGAAGATATTTGTTCTCATTGATTTTTAAAGAATGGAAGGGAGGTATGGAGGGGAAGAGAGGAAGACAGGGAGAGAGAAAGGGCAGAAAAGAGAAAGAAATCGGTTGTGCCCTGTGCCGACAGGGCTGGGGATCAAACCTGCAATCCAGGTACTTGACCTGAGCAGGAGTCAAATCCAGACTCTCTGGTCCACAGGCCGATTCTCTACCAATGAGAAAAATTGTCCAGGGCCAGATGACATCTTGACAGAAATTATATTCTACTGCTGAGACTTTTGTCGCATAATTCCAGTTCTTTAAATACACTAAGTTTTCAAAATATTCCACTTTCTTCTTATACCCATGATTAGACTTATACACAAATGCATACATATAATCACATACATGTCTGTTTTATAAATTGATTTTTTATATTTATTAAATATTGTGCACTTTCTTCATGCTATTAAAAAGAATTTAGGGTAGCTTTCAACATTTAAGCACTACATACAGAAAACAACACTTAAAAAGGATATTTAAAAAGAGAAAGCAATCCAAACTTCTTTAAAAGAAATTTAATTTCACTAAGTCCTAAATGAGGAGCTTCCTGAAGAGCAAAGCAAAAAAGATAACATAATGAGGTACACAGTCCTCACTTGAAGAACAAAAAGGGTATGTAATTTAGCTGGAGAGTCCTGCCCTTTCTTGATACTGATTCTAACTGAAGTTCATTTTACTAATGTCTACCTTGCACAAGCGTGCTGCAAACTAGGGATTGCCAAGCAACATACTGAATGAATATCATTAATTTTTGCAGGATATAAAACTATTTTATTCAAAGCAGATTTTCTTGTATCTCAAAGGCCAATCACGCCACCAGAGTTAACGTCTGCAGAAGCTATTTTTTGGTGATCTAATTCAATGTGTGGAATAAACTCAGATTTAAGAACAGAAAATGAAACTTGGAAATTTCTCAAACATCAATTATTTTGAGCATGATATGGCAGGAAAAAGACTGCAGTAAATTGAAACTTTGAAAAAAATTAGGGACTGAAATAAAACAATAACTTTAATAGTTACATGTTAACAGAGCAGTTAACAAAACAAGCTTTCCATTAAGAAAATTTCTGTGTCTTTTTATTTCACTCAGAGCACTAAGCTACTTCACACTCAAAAGCAGGACTAAATTTTCTCAAAGTAAATGGGAGAAGTGTGCTATAGTGTACATCACAAAAAGATGCTTATGGCCATATGTATAATTATATCCCCAAATCTAAATCATCACTGGCCTGATAGCTAAGCCCAGCAAATTCTGGATAGGACATACTGGTATATTACCATGAATCCCATTAAGTTTTTGCCCAACTCAGTTCTGGAGGTCAGTTTTGTTAATTTCATCAGATTTTAATTAGAACCATTATGGAACCACAAATGAGGGTGTCCAGGGAATTCTCAAGCTGTAGGACAGAAAAAAGAACCATCCCAAGCATCAAAAAGAGCTCATTTTATATTGTCTACTTTGGACAATGATGTGTCAATAACATAGGACGCTTTATCAGAGGTGTAGCTATAACTTTCCATACACTCAATCTGGGGATGATCAGCTAGCCAGAAACTTCATGTAACAATCACTTTCTTCCATCTTTCCCAGCTAAACTTCTTGAAAAAAATCATCTAGATTCACTTCTTCAGCTTCTCTGCACTCTGGTTTCTACCCTTACATTTCACTTAAAGTTTTCACAGAAGTCTTTCATTATCTCTGTATTACCAAATCCAGTAGGTTCCTGACTTGATGCCTCTAAAGCACACAAAAATGCTAACCATGGGGTAGGGGAGATGGAAGACGACAAGGCGGGAAAAATGGGGAGGGAGAGAGACTTTACTCTGGGTAGTTTACATGTACAGATGTACAGATGTGTTACTGATTTCTACAAGTGAAAACTGCGTGGTTTTAACATGTCACCCCAATAAATTCAATTTTAAAAAATTTCAATAAGAGAAGGAAAAGATGTGATGGATAAAATGTTACTAATGGATGTAGATGTTATTTTTTTTAATCCTCACCTGAGGATATTTTTCTATTGCTTTTCAGATATAGTAAAAGGGAGGGACAGAGGGGGACACAGAGGGAAAGACAGAAGAGGGAGACACATCCAACTGGTGGCCTCCCATGAGCCCTGACCTGGCTGGGAGCAAGCCTGCAACAAAGGTACCTGCTCTTGAATGGAATCAAACTGGAGACCCTTCCATCTGCTAGCCGAAACTCTCACCACTGAGCCAAACTGGATGAGGCCAGATCAAATTTTTGAATGTGGGAAAAAAAATGCTGGCCATGCATTCCTTAGCTAACTCAACATCATTCTCCTTTCAGTTCTCCTTCTCAATCTCCTTCATAATCTCTTCCTCTTCCTTTTGCCTGTGTAAATATTAGTCTGCTAAGGCTGTCTTTAAGACTCTAACCTCAATAATCTCTGAGTGAATTAATTCAAACCACTGTTTCAACTACTACCTATTTTCAAGGTTTCCAAAGACTAAGAACGTATATAAAACTTTTAATGCAATGCTTAACTATATTTCAGCTATCCAATAAATGATAGCCTAGTCTCAAAGACAAACATAGTCAATATCCAATGGCACAGTGAATCTCTATTCACCCAACAGGCACCTCAAAGTATACAGGACCAGAGCAGAACAAAGTCTGTCCCTTAAATACATCCCTTTAGTTTTCAAACCAGTAACCTGGAAATTACCCTACATTCTATTCTCCCTTAGCCCCACCTCTCCGAGTTCCAAAAAGCCCACCTTCTCAATTACACCTGTACTTTACTCTCAGTGAGACTGCCATGGCCTTAGTTTAACACATTCTAATAATTTGTCTGGATTATAGAAGAAGCCTACATAAGATTCTCCTGCCTCCTTTTTTGATCCATCAGTGATTCTTCCTCCAGGCACTTCAAAGGGCTGCCAAAGGGCAAAGAAAAAAGCTAGACTTTGAAAGCACAAATGGCTGCTCCACATTCTTGGGATCAACTTCAAGTTTTTAACCTCAGCACACAAAGCCCTGCCTGATGTGGCTTCAGCATCATCTCTTGCCACTCCGAACCCTCACCTGCTTTCCCAAAAATGCTTCATATGCTATTTGGCCTTGCCTTTATGGAAGCTCATCCATCTGTCTTGAGCACCCACCCTTCATACCTCTTCCTGATTCTTAACCCTGAAAGTGCATCAAACTCACTAAAGAAACTTAAAGATAATAAGAAAAGGCAGAAAATAAGATACTGATAAAATAGAGTCTACTGTTTGAACGAATTCCACCTGTGATTGTGATAAAAAAACAGATCTGAGAACTACCCATGTATAACCAACCAACCCATATCTGAGTGCTAGCACGTCTGTGGCTTGTCTGACCCACGCTCTCCCTTCCTGTCTGTCTCTGATGACCTTCTTATCCATTACTTCAAGGCTTTGTATGTTTCTATTATTGCACTTCCATGCCAGGATGAGCTGTTATTCTCAGCAATTCTGAATCTGTAAGCAAGAATCTGTTCTGTATAATCATTTTTATTCCAGCTTGACACATATTAGATTACTGAAAAAATGTCTTAAATGTTTGCCTAATAAATAAGTACCTGTGTTAATGACTTACAGAGATGTGAGCCTCTCAATCAAGATTCCTGGATGAGAATTTGCACTCATACATACCCAGACTCTTGCCCAAAACAACGTTTCTGAAATAATAAAGAAAAATGACAAAACAATTTTTATATTCTCTTAGTTTCACATCAATCCTATTACATAGAGCCAGATGTTACCCTTTGATGAAAAAATTCGTGCTCAGAGAGATTAAACAACTTGCCTGTGGGACAGAAGTAATGAAATTATACAACTGCGATTCTGACTGTACAGGGGCATTCTGGGACTGCCCCTCAGAATAACTACGAACTTCGTCAAAAATGCCCCAAATCAGCAAATTCAGGTATGATCAGTCCTAAGATCATCAGTCACTAATTCATATCTGCCACTTTAAAGTCAAACTCCCTTCTAACTGCAAGGTTCTTTTCCATTCAAGCCTCGTCTCTGGGTTCCCTCTAGGCCATGACAGCCTTCCACACATCGAATGGGGGGTCAGGCAGACAAAGCTCCTCTGGCGGGCTGTTAGAGCTCAATCACTTTCAGGTGGGGGAGGGAGGGCTCAGGTGGCTGCTCGAGAAAGCACTCTCACCAAAGAGAGAGACTACTGAGCTAGAGAGGGACAAGAACTTAGAGGGAACCAACACTTTCTTCAGCGAGACCTCTCACCGACCCGAGAAAACTACGTGACCCCCAGACCAAAAACAGCTCCCACAACTCCACACCTTAAACACCGCGAAGGGAGAAAGCGCTCCCAGCGCTCAGGACCCCGGGGTGCAGGAAGCGGCAGGGAACGACCCACCGGACAACATGGCGGTGCTCCTGCGCAGAGCCTCGACGCTCAACAGCGACACCCATCTCGCGCCCCCCATCCCCACCAGACCGTCAGCCAGCCACCCAGGCCAGGCCCCAAGCGCCTCCACCATTACCCCTTGTGGTCCCGCGTGAACCAGCCGCGCAAACAGCCATCTGTCC